TATTCTTTTCTGTGAAATGTATATATCTATGGATTGACCTCATAAAGAGGCTTAGCTGCAGATCTGTAGCTCTCCGAAAAACATATATTGATAGACCGGAGAGCTACAGTGCCACCCATTGAAAAAACTGTATATTTATTGCGCACAAAAAAGTGCGCTCGGTTCTTAATTAATTCTTCCAAATTCTTACCTCAATTGCAAATAAGGAAAGATTTCAAAAAATTCCTTTATCTTCTATCAAGTACTCTCGTAGTTGACATCCGAACGAAGCATACTGTAAACCAACTTTTATTCGCGACGACTTTATTTCGCGATTTACCAGGGATAAACTAGTTCGCGACGGTTAATTTTCGCGATCAAGCCTTTTTGCATCTGTTTTTGAATAGACAAATATACTATAAGGACCGGTTCGCGGCGAGAAATATTAGCGACGACGAGGCTCTCGCGAACTTCGCGAAAATTTCTCGCACGCGAATAAAAGTTGGTTTACAGTATTGGACAGAATTATCTTTGAAACCAAAATGGCAGTATAAATAAGCGAAATGTTTGATGATTACAATATCAGGGTCAGGAGGACTATTAACAACAATTATGAGGAATGTTTGGTTGTGGAAACAGCGAAAGAATATGTTAGGAACACACGGTTAGTAATATTTTGAGATTACAGTTTTAAAAACATGGAGAAATAAATCGAGAACCGAGCGCACTTTTTTGTGCGCAATAAATATACAGTTTTTTCAATGGGTGGCACTGTAGCTCTCCGGTCTATCAATATATTTTTTTCAGAGAGCTACAGATCTGCAGCTAAAAGAGGCTATTTTTGTATAATATTTCCCATTTCTTTGTAGTGTATGTGGATACAACAAAAGCAGATGAGTTATACAAGAAAGTGAGAATCCTGTGTTTTGTGATTACCACCTCGAGTAAACTGAGCAAGGCTGTCCCAGTGGTGAACGCCACCTGGGGGAGGCGCTGTAACAAAGTCCTGTTTGTCCTATGTCCGGTGAAAGATACAGATCAGTTGTTCCTAAACTCGTGTCACATCAGAGAAGGTTCAGGCCATCTGATGGCTAAAGTTAGACATGCCTTCCAAGTTTCCTATGATAAATACCTCAATGACTATGACTGGTTTCTCAAGGCTGATGATGACACGTACCTAGTGATTGAGAATCTCCGATATGTCTTGTCTCACCATGACCCCAATGACCCTGGTTACGTAGGCTACCATTTCCAGAAGTTCATGTATCAAGGTTACGCTTCTGGTGGAGCGGGGTACGTCATCAGCCGACAGGGACTCAGACAGCTTGTAGGGAGGGGATTTAAAATGGAGGAAGACAGATGTAAAAAGGATGGAGAGATAGAGGATAGATTCATTGGACAATGTTTAGAGGTAGATACAAAAACAGTATACTGGGGACCTTTGTATCTGATTTGTCCTCCATTTGTGTGGGATTCATTGTTTGTCATCCATTATGTCTAGATAATTTTTTTTCAACTTATTCCGTAAAGCCACTGGGCTTACATATATAAATTTGCCCTAAAGTATACATGGGGCTTAAAAAGTGCAGTATTAAATAAGGATAAGTCATTTTAAAACATATCTTAGGTACATTTCCATTTATGTTGTAGGCTAGTGGGGTACCAGTTCTGAGATTGATGGACATGCTATGATTATATTACGTTTATTTTATTGTAGGGCAGTGGGGTACCCGTGTTGAGTTCGATGGACATGCTATGATTATATTACGTTTATTTTATTGTAGGCCAGTGGGGTACCCGTGTTGAGTTCGATGGACAAGTTTGAGAGACAGACATTCCACACAGATAAGATCTGGCAGCACGTGTGGGGAACATTCCCTAAGTACCTGGTGGCTTATTCAAGAGATCCTGTTAAAGATGTATGTCTTCTTGTGATATTTAGCTTGGAATGTTTTGTTTTTCATATCTCTCTCTGTGACTAGATAATGAGAAAACGATATTTTTTTGTGATTTTCAGACTACTTTTTGCAAGTTTTCCTCCATAAATAAAAAAATCTCTATACATAACACGTTTTGTACAGATGTCAACCTGATAGCTTCAGATTCTTCCTCTCAATTCAGCTAAAAATTAGCATCAAATGTGAGAATACATGCCACATTTTTCAACCAAAAATGATTTCCAGTTTTCTTTTTTCTTCTGGTCTGACCAGTACATATCTTAACCATCAATACAATAAAAATTTCAGTAGCTAGAGAGCATATACATGTATGTTGTATATAGTAACAAGAGGCTTTGAACTTCATTTGTATTTTATCCCCTATGATGAACATGTTCAATTTAATATATTTTATGATTTGACTCGTTTTATTTACATGTATATGATAAACTGACAATGAAATAAGAATGACATGAGGAATACTTTTCTCCAGTTCCTACAAACTTCTCTGATCCTATGTGTCTGTTTTACAGGGCAGTAACTGCTGTAGTCAGTTTCTTCTCTGATCCTATGTGTCTGTTTTACAGGGCAGTAAATGCTGTAGTCAGTTTCTTCTCTGATCCTATGTGTCTGTTTTACAGGGCAGTAACTGCTGTAGCCAGTTCCTGATCAGTTTCCACCATGTCGACCCCGGGGCCATGATATTCGTACATCAGCTGTTGTACAGGACCAGCGTCTATGGACGGAATCTTCCGGAGGACATTCCCAGCAATCTCTTCCCTGTGAAGCCCGTCCCCCCGAAAAAAGTCATTGACGATGAAATCTGATGAAAATCCTTTAAAAGGGATTCAGAAAGTCCATCCAAGAGTTACACCTTTATTTTTCATGATTTGTGAAATCAATTGTTTCATTTTATTTTATGACTTGGTGCAAATTATGACTTTTATGGTCTGATGCTCTCTTTTAGTGATATATAATAACCCTACCTCACTGTCTACACACTCTGCATTCCACTTAGGAACTACAGCCACACACTGCTAGCTAGGAGCTTATTGTTTACACCTTGCTATTCATACTCAGCTGTAACTATGACCACAGCTAGCAATACACAGCTATCTCTGCGTAGCATTTTCATGTAACTGTACACAGAAGCATGGCACTGTACAAGTAGCCAGCCAAAACTAGTTCTATAGCTATACATAGCTTACCAGGGTATTAAAACACCTCCTCCTATACTGTATACATGTACATATTTTAATGAATATTTGTATGAAATGAGTAAATGGTGAAAATGTGATTAAAATATTCATATTATGTTGATAATGTGAAATTGTATGGATGTCATTGTAGAAATGGTCTTTATTATTTAAATGAATAAAAAAGGGAGAGATCTGTCCAGTTGTATCAAGCAGTGGCATTGTGATATTTATGAGTATCTGTAAATATTCTGTAAAATATAGTTATTTTTATGAGGCTTCAATCTCCTGTAATAGTGGGGGTCATAACTTTATTTATTGAGAGAATGCATAATGACTATGAGAACTAGTTTTATTTTTGTTTCATTTTTTAATGCACAAGGCTGCAGAGAAACTATGTGCATGTGCTTCACCATATTTGTATTTGTATAAAATATTCTGTATTATATAATAAATATGGCATGCATTTGAGGGTAACATGAAAATTTTCACCCCTTGAAAATCATTTTCAACCTCGACTGTACCATGGTTGATGGTAGTTTTCTTGGATTGAACATTTTCATTGTTACCAATAACTAACATGCAATATTTATATGATATTTATGGCCCTTGAAGAAGGGAAGGCACATTGCTTTACTCTGACCGTCAGTCTGTCTGTCGATCCACCATCAGTTTCCATTCATTTTCTTTGCAGAGCATGCACCCAATGAAATGAAATTTGGTATACAGATTAATTATAAGAATATCTAGGTCAAGTTCTGTGTTGGGTAGGATCAAGCCATTTTGGACAAATTATTTTACTTAGAAAAATTCCAATTACTTGCAGTTTCCATTCTTTTTCTTCATAGAGGTTGCACATATTGAAATAAAATTTCGCATACAGATTTATCATAATATCTAGGTCTGCTCAGAGTTCTGTTTTGGGTACGATCGAGTCATTTTGGACAGAGTTATGCCCCTTGGACTTAGAAAAATTCCAATTATTTGCTGTTTCTGTTCATTTTCTTTGCTGAGGTTGCACATATATGTAATTTGGAATACAGATTTATCATTAAAATATCTAGGTCAATTTCTGTTTTGGATATGATTGAGCCAATTTGGATCCCTTGGACTAAGAAAAATTCAAATTATTTGGGAGAGGGGGCATAAGTGTTTTACAAGCATCTCTTGTTTTTTATATGTTCAGTAAATGTTGGCTTTGAAGTCAACACATACAGACCTGAAATCCACTGACAGACATATCAACTGAAACTAAATTCATCTCTAGGTTACCAGGGTATTAATATTTCTGAAATTTAGAATTAAACTTACAAAGATTTCATGATGATCATGTTTTAATAACGATTTTTTTAAAAAATTGCATATACAGTACAGAAATCTTCCTAATTTCAAGGTTTTATAATATTGTTCTTTTAAACATGGTGTGTAGTTGATATTGTGAAGATGTTCTTTATTATACATATCTAATGAAACATTTCAGTCCCTTTGGTTACATTCATTTGTTTACAGTGTTGTCTTATTCCCAATGTTGTCTTACTAATTTCTGAGGAACCCATTGTGTTCAGGCTAGAAAAAAGTTATAGTTTTACCTGTATTATCTTTTCAAAAAAGATAATATAATAAGAAAAATTATTTGTTAATAATAAAATCCTTTTGACGTGCAATATAACAAAAAATACCTTTTTTCTGAATTTGAATTGCTTATGATATATAACTCACATTTCTTTCATTTTTAATGGAATCATGAATTGCCAGCTCAAGTGTACAATGTCATTTTAATTACATGATTGTGAATTCCTTGGGTTGGAAAAAGGAGAGAAATGATTTTACTTACAGTTATCATATCTTATAATTATACCCCCCGCAAACGAAGTTTATGGGGGGTATATTGGAATCACCATGTCCGTCTGTCCGTCCGTCTGTCTGTCTGTCTGTCTGTCTGTCTGTCTGTAGACGAGATTTTGTCCGGACCATTACTCAGAAACTATTGGAAGGATTTGTCTGAATATTTGTACACATATTATTCACCATATGAAGTTGTGCACCTGATATTTTCATCTTGATTGGATTATTATTTTGAATTTTACAGGTGTTTTTTCATTTTTATTTTGTGGTTTTGTCTGGACCGTTTCTCAGAAACTATTGCAAGGATTAATCTGAAAATTTGTACACTTATTATTCACCATATGAAGGTGTGCACCTGGAATTTTCAACTCTTTTTGTTAATTTTTTTGCATTTTACAGGTTTTATTTTTTATTTTAATTGACTTGTTCATTTTGGGCTCATGTATAAGGTTTGAGATATAGAATCTAGAATATCTGTTCCAAAATACTACAGCTTAAAACTACTCATAAAAACTTAAAAAAAAGAAACATCATCAAGTGTTAAAAACAGTTTTTACATTGCACAGAAGATAATGTAATTTCATTTGTCTCTTGGGAATAATGACTGGACATGCATCCAGTTAAAGATAAATTAATGAGTTTGGTGTTGGAAGTTGTTAAGGCATATCTCTTATCAAGCGTGTGTGTTATCTAATCTCCAGGGAATAAGGTACAAGAATTAAAGATCTCTCTTCTCTTATTCTCTTAATTGTAATTTATTGTCTGTCAAAGCACTTCATTACTGGATGACCAGCTCTTTATTTTCAAAATGCATTTCAAATTGATATATCAAGATTAATTTGATTTTGTATAATGGTTTTTTTTCAACAATCAGTTTGCAGAGTGACATAACACATAATTGCAATATATTTTTTTAATGCAGAAATAAAAAAAAAATAAAATGAAAAAAAAAAAAAAATGTTACAATGGAATTAAATTGTATTAGTATTGATGTTTCATTTGGTTGCACCTTTGTTTCATTCATTAAGAAACATGATGAGCAATAATATTTCACTGCAAATATTTGTAAGTAAATTGTGAACACCTCTAGATCCATACAGTATTTTTGAATTGGCACCTTCTCTGAAAAACCCAGCGGGGGGTATTTGTCCCTATTGGACAGTTCTAGTTGAAATAACTAAGATACATGTCAACTCTAGTACAGCATGTAAAACATTCAACTGTATTTAAGGTTAAAAAAATGGACTAGGATATTTATACTGTATACCGGTAACACCCAGGAAAGAAGATTAAACTTGATGTCTAATCAAGTTAGAAATTAATAAATTTACACTGAATGTATTACTGTATTTGCCGATTGTTTTCTAATTGTCTTGTCAGTCCATTTCACAATGAGGCAATGTGATATTTCTTTTTTTATGAGCAAAGTTCAGCATTAAATATTCTGTGATACATCACCTGTCTTTTGTTTTTGTGTTTTTTGGTTCTCTTTATACTTTTCTGACCAACTAAGAGTAAAACATCTCAAAAGTATTGCAAGGGACAGCTTAAATTTCTTCAATATAGTTGAATTCAAATGCTATTCATTACATTTTGGAAACAAAAGATTTGTTGTTGCTCGATGTTCATGGAATTCAGGACTGTCTCTCATCAACAAACTCACGTCCTCTTCAAATTAATAAAACTGGGTTACAAAGTCATATTTCCTTTTGTGGATATTAGAGAATACTTGAAATTATGTCCCCGCAATCCTGTTACGTTAAGCAATCCATGAAAATTGGCCACCGTGAATTTCAATTAATGATAATTTAATAATTGCACAGCATCTACGTGTGGCTCCCTCCATCCTTTGGTTCAAGTGAGATTTTTCTGATCAAAGGGTTCCAGCATCTATCTATTGTCTGTAAACTTGTTACATTTTGGACTTCTTCTCAAGAATCACTTGATGTGCTGTTTCAATCTAACTTGCCACAAACCGTCTCAGAGTAGAGATTGTTCAAATGAAGAGCCATACCCTCTTTCAAAGGGGAGATAATAAAGAAAAAGTGAAAATTTGATGCCATATTCTTCTTGAATAAGAGCCACAGAAAATAGACAGTGATTCTTGAGATGCATATCTGATTTAATATAGGGCATAAAAGGGCTTGAAAAGAAATCTGCTCCAAAAATGTTCATCTAGGAAATCAACATCAAGTGTGTTGCATAGGCTCCCCCAACTTCACTGATGTGAGTCAAAGTTGGGAGGAACTTTCATCTCAGTTCAACATACTGTATCATCCCTATCAACCGCCCCTGCCTCTATAAATGCCCCCTAGGTCTTTTTCAATTGCCAGGAAATAAGCCCCCCCCCCCTCGTACAGTGATTAAAATCATATAGAATGGTATTCTCAGTCTGCCAAAATTTGAAGAAAATGATAATGTGTCCATATCAATTTGTCGGTGGAAATTTATTAATTTAGCAAAATTTGGATTAAATATCTTCACTTAATCTAAAAGTAAAGTTGGAGATTATTTTAGTGGTTCTTTAAATTTTTTTTTTCAAAAGATTTGTTGAAGTTAAAATATGACATTAAATATTATAAAGAGAATACCAAAATAACCGCCCCCTTTTTGCAATTTTCTAAGCACCCAGGGCGGTTAATAGGGATTATATGATATCTATTTTAGAGGAAGTAACAAATTGTGAGATATCAGTTTAACTGGGTGATCTACTTTACAACCATACAGTTGTGGATCATTCTTTATAACTGCTTTCTGTTTTGTAAAGAAAACAAAAAACATTTGTAATCTCTTCAAAAATTTAATACTTTTCATAACATTAACAAATCTGTACATTATTATGTCTTATGTCATTAATAGTGAAAAACCCACAGAAAAATAGATATCAACTGATAAAGGTTACAGATCTGAAAAAATAGGAGAGAGGGAGAATCCAACTAAAAAATAAATGTTAAATTACTGTAAGTTTTAACAAGAAGAAATATACCGAAGAAATGTTTGCAAACATAAAACAAATTCCTGTAAGAGAAAATGGAATGCATTTTATAGAATGAATAATATTCTGAATCAAAAGAAATTATTGTTGGAAGTATGCAGAGAAAAGAATGAGAAGTTGAACATGGACAGCACTAAATTAACACAGGGAAAAGTCCAAATACAGAAAAAGCATAGGTAGAAAATGGAGAATTGTTAGCTTCTGAATATGGGAATGTAACACTGCTAATTAACTTAGTGACAAAAACATTTCCGTATGTTATTTGTGCAAAGATATAAATCTCAATCAATGTCTAACTGACATTCTGAATTAAACAATTGGTCAATAAATATACATTTCATAATAATTGTAAAATAATTAAGTTCTGGAATGTACAGTTTATACTTAATTAAAGGCAAATATAATCTCAACAAAAATATTTGAAATCCCTATTCAACAAATTCTGAATGTACCAGATGAAAGACACAAAAAAAATATAATATAATAATCTGTTTTTGCCATATACAATAATAATAAATATACAATCACGCTCAGTACTGCAAAGACCAGATTAAATATGAATAACCATGTCACAAAATATGAAAAATAAACATAAGAAGCACTTAACAAAAACAAATAGAACTCTGTGATAAAATTGAGCATTTTTTAACAGTCACTACACAATGTCATGGTCCCTTCTAGTCCCTAATGAAAGCCCACGTGGTTCAAACTCACAATGGTAACGGCAATAATATGAGGGGAATATAACACCAATATCCAGATCTACGCAAAGTCAAAAATAGACCTATAATTATATTTCAGAGCATTAGAGATGAGAATTAATAAGGGGCTGAATACTAAAAGAGGAAAGTGTGTTTCAAATTGATTACAACAGAGGGGAAATTAATTTGATTTTTTATTTCAATAAGAATTGCTATGAATTTTCTATGCACTTTTGAGCTAAATAAGAATAAAGAGAGATATAAGATTAAACCAATAGTTTACATACTGTATTACAGAACATTTAAATGAAAAAAAAAATTACGCTAATAATCTCTGTAAATAGAAACTTTCACATTTTCAGTAGGCTAAGTTGCAACGGGTATTGTCTAATTTTTTCTGTCCAACAAAACCATGTAGGGGAAAAACAAAAAATACTAATATGTGTACATAAAATTATTTCAAAATTATAACAAGAAAATAAATTATATCTGTGAGATTCTATCAACATAATCTGTAACAAGTAAGAAAATAATTTCATATCCGATTAATAAGGCTTAATAAACTTCTAGTACAATAATGAGTTATCTCCCTCTATATAGACTAGGCAATACATAGTAATCACAAACTAATTGTCTGAACGCTCAAAGGCAGTAAACCAGGAATGTATCTTAATTCTTACAAACAACAAAGAAAATAGAATGACATTCAACAAGGTCATTAAAAAAATACAAAAATCTTGTAATGATGAGAATAATAATCTCCCAGATCCTGTTTCTCTTAGTCTGGTTCTCTTGGCTGGTTCCCTCACTTGGTTGGTGATATAGGCTCCTCTTTGACTGTGACTGGTATGCCATCAGAAGGAGAGCTCAGACTTTTTTGATTTGGAGAATTTGAATTTTCTTCCTCTACAGAAGTATCTGCTTTTGATTCTCGGAATGGAACAAATCCTTTAGCCATGGCAGCGTGCATGGTGGACAGTGACCCTATATCCATGGGCTCGCCCACTGAGGAGTCCATTTCCTGGTCTTCATCCCCAACAGTAAAGCCCCAGTGAGACTGCTTCATGTGCTTGTTAAGTTCGTATTTGCGGACAAAGTCCTTCCCACAGAGAGAACAGATGTGGGGTCTGTCCTGGGTGTGAATGCTCTGGACGTGACGTTTCAGGTGGTCGGACCGACTGAATCTCTTGTTGCACACTTTACATTCATGGGGCTTAATTCCAGTGTGGATGGATAAGTGGCGCTTTAGGTGGATATTTTTAGCAAATGCTACTCCACATGTGGGGCAAATGAAAGGCTTTTCTCCAGTGTGAGTACGGAGGTGTGTCTTTAGAACAGACGGACTGGTGAAGGTTTTATCACAAGTGTTACACGAGTAGGTCTTGTCATCAGAATGTTTCTTCATGTGAGTGTGCAGGTTTGATTTTGTGCTGTAAGTTTTACCACAGACATTGCAGGGAAAGTGAGAATGTGTTTCGTAATGTCTGCTGAGAGAGTCTTTATCCAGGTAACTTTTGCCACACACAGGACAGATGAATTTCATGTCACTCCCGTCGATGGTTCCGCTGGTCACGGTGATCAGGAGGGGGTTCGTGGGCTGCTGGACGCGGCTGGGGGTGGGGGAGCGGGTGTATCTCTGACCAAAGCTTGGACTGTCCAGTCCACGGGCCCTCATGTACTGGTCAAAATACGACCCACCAGAATCATCCGTGTTGCTAAGGTAACTGGTTAAACTACTGCTGAAATCCAAGGACTTGTTGGCGTTCATCTTGATATAATCTTCATATGGACTGAAGGATCTTGGAGGTGGGGTTGAGAATTTAGTAGGAGTAGGGCTGTAAGGTAGAGAATTAGGGCTCTCGCTTTTGTTGGACAGTCCATTAGTTTTGTGAGTCGAGTTTGGGGTGGGGGATATGTTCTCCTTTTTAATGTAGACTTTGTGGGTCTTAGCATGGTCCTCCATTTCTGCTTTTGTGTCAAACTCCTCAGCACACTCGAAGCACATGTAGTTCTCTTCCTTGCCATTAATTCCGGTTGGTGTACGGTTAGCCCCCTGGGATCTGTTTTCTTGTGGAGAACTGCTGGTGTCACTCGCTGCTTTTTCAGAATTTTTATTTGAGCCCACACCATTTTCTGGAAAGACAAGACAGTAAAACTAAAATCATTCTCTCTAATGCTGATTCAGAATTTCTTATATTAAAACACACACACAAAGAATTTAATTTTCAAAACAACTAGATTTTCATTCATCGTTTCTAAGTTGTCTGATTTTTTTGACTGCAAAATAAAATTTTTGATGCACTCTTAATGTCAATAGAAAACGAACCTGTTAAAGTCAGGTAATATGACTGGTATTTATATTTTTATGATTGAAATTATTTAAGTAACAATTTATCTAAGCCTTTCAACCCTTCATAGCATACAGAAGAAATTCAACACCAAAATATTTCATTTCTCCACAAAAGACCTTGCTAAGCGGTTTACAATTATTCCTTAACGATGCATATTTCAAAACACTGGTGAGAACAAACAGTCAATGTGTAACAGATTCTGTTCCACTAAAATTGGACATGGGTGTTTATTGCTACAAGTCACAAATTATACGAGTGGAGCAGTCATACAAGAAAAGGTGGGCAGCATTGATTTTTGTTCAGAGACAAATATTTCAATGCCGACTTGACACAGCTCATCAGAAAAGATATTTCTGTTTTTAATACCATCTACAATTACATCAGATCAAGGCTTTTGTCGTGTGAGGTGTCTGTTAGTCTGTTCTATCGGGTGATTAGGAGCATCACTAATGTGTGCTTAATAGGTACTGATTTCTCATGTAGACAACTAAATCAATGTCCACACTGATCAAGAATATTAATAATGATTCATCAATAACAATTCAGAAATAAAAGAAGTTTACAGAAGATTTTTATAAGTATAAATTAATTCATTACCGGTAGGTGACAGTGGGGATCTGTGAGGGGAAGAATACAGAGAATTTCTGTCTGAATTTTCATTGTGGGTCACTTGACGTAAGGGGATTTTAAGTCCCTTTCTCTTTGAGACTTTTACTTGCGTACCCTGAATTTCAGCTCCGTTTTCCAGAAACTCACACGGAATAAAGTCCTCAAGCTTCTGTGCAAGGTTTGGAAACTTCTTGATGATCTGTAAGATAAAATGTTATTAAAAAGCATTTCCAAATACAAAAATAAGTCTTTTGGCTGATATGCAATATGTGTATGCAATTCAAAGATTTTTTTTCAAGTTATATTTTATATAGGTGATCATATATCGGATTTCTGGGTACATGTATAACATGTAGGCTTTAACATATCTCGTTTCCTTTCAGATTATCATATTACACGACGAGTTGTTGTGTTTGGCAATAATAACTTCCTATCTTTATAAAAATACTCCCAAGTGTAGTTAATAAAAGCTAGTCTATTTTTATCAACTGAAAAATAACAGACAAAATGATGATTTTTTCCACAGAAAAAGAGATAAATATCAAATTATTTTTTTTACTAACTTTACGATATATATTTTTAATATCTAGTTAATTTAAAATATCTCTCAATATATTCTGAATAAAATGTACTTATTAACAAAATTTTTCACTACTATGATTTGCCATGATTAAAAACTTCCTATATATTATCAATACATTTTCAAGGAACTTTAAGTCGGGTGAACTTTTGTAAGTACTTCATCACGTGTGGAGGACGGTGGCCCAATCTGCACTACTGACTACATCCTACTGTCTGTTTACGTTATGTATGTTATATAGAGTTAATTCCTTGATCGTATCCCTCTCTGGTCGTTGATGGCGGAGTTAGCATCATGCAAACAACAAACAACCCTCCCAGATCTTCAACTGAGAACTGAGACAGCTGAGACTCTGTTATAAGTTGAGACTAGACTACTAAATATTTTCCTATAGGGAACAGTTTACTTCTAGGCATGATCACAATGTACAAGTACATGTATTTGTAAAATTTCTTTTTTAAAATTTCTTACCATAGACACTATACTTTTCAACCAAATTTAACCTTTGAGTTCTAATTTTGATTAAATCTACCCATTTTTTAATGCAAACTTTTACTTCGTATAATTTTTTTTCATTATATATATTCTAAATATCGTAGACTAAAATCTTCAAATATTCAATTTCTTTACTTTTATGAATACATTCCTGTCATTTAAACTGTAATTACTATATATGCCTTTAATCATCATGGGAAAAAAACTTTAATTACTAAAAGAGCTATATTCTAAATTTAATTTTCTTGGTGTTAAGAATCCTTTAATGAGGATTTCAACACCTAAGTGTCACGAGCCAATGCACAAATAACACGCAATTACCCTTCAAAAGCTGGTGGATAGAAAGTTCACAATTTGGGGGGCTGTCTATAGGTATAAAAATTAAAAACCTCCTTCTGCCAAATTTTTTTTTCTATTTAAACTCTCCATTGTACCGACAACATTACTTTGCCATAATATCTTGTGAGGAAAGTTTTTTTTTTTCAATCCCCACATTTTGATTCAGCCAGGTGTGACCAAGTAGATCTTAACAGAGCATATCCTTCAGGGGAAAAAAACACTGTCTAGATAAACGGGAGGAAATGAACGACGACGTGGAATTATATGCATACCATCCAAGTGATATAATTACCTACTATTGCCCGAGGCCTAACACTGTTCTACCTGGCTGGCATTTGAGGGAGAGACGAAAAACCAACTCAATCCCTGACAATGTCAACAGGGACCTTTAATTCTGTGTCTACCCCCCAGCTATACATTTAACTGTTTTACTACCGCTTGGCTGAGCGGAGGGAATAAAACGATCAGATTAATTCTCCAGATCTCTCCGTACATTGCTATAGCTGGAGGGGGTACAAGTTTGTAAATGTACGACACAGATGGGGGGCTGTCAGGTCTAAGCCTGGCCTGGGATCCTAGCACCTGAATGCCTCTATAATGAATTTAATATTCCAATGATACTGTAAAAATATGATAATTACTGCCTATTAATGAATCTAGTTTAAATAAAACTTTCAGCAACACCTTTCTGGGAGATGATTAACCCACATTTTCCATACATTATTCTGATTTAATGTCCTCCCCAGTAGCAAACTCTCTGTGGAATGTTCAGTTTGGATAAAAATTCATACATTGTATATGTCTGACGATTGTGAGGTTTTTATATGTACAGCAGTATATAAAGACATACTCCATATTGCTTATGTACCGCCTTGACAGGGTTACAAGGAATTGGTCAACACTTACTTGGGATCCATAGATTTGTCGTTCATCAATGGCGGCTATAAACCAGCACTTAATGGCATGAAGAACCTGGTCATTAGAAAGTCCTGTGTCCCCCAAACGCTTCAAGTGGGGCATGGCCTCCCAGAACTCCAAGTCTAGGAAACAGTCTTCCTCCAATAACTGAGAATAAAGAGAAGTAACAATGTGTTACATGTATTACTGTAAAATCATACCAGAGTACAGATATCAGGCCTAACATAAACTCATTCATTATATCATTAAAAGTGAAAAATAGGAGGAAATTAGTTTGATACTTTCTGGGTATATGCAAATACTGAAGTCAAGACAAAGATTTTCAATAGGTTAAATAGATAAAGTGATTATACCTTTTCGAAATTTTCTTTGATAAAGTCTGTACTCTCCTTGAGAAGGTTAGAGGCAAGGCATTCGGTGGCAATCTGATGAATCTTTAAACAGTTCTCAATGTCTAATACTGAAAGCAGAAAGTTGCTGCACAAGCTCTGAATCTCAGCAACATGCAACTTAGCAGCTGCGGGTAGCAACGTCCAAACCGTCTCCTCGTTAACTGATACAGTGGCTGTGTAGAAGAAATCGACGATCGTTTGTACCGCCTCCCCCTCAATTCCTTTCAACGGGTGTTCATACAGCCCAGGTTCCATGTAGTACCTAGTATTCATAAGGCCTTTAAAGTAAGGCGAATTCACAGACAGGACCAACTTATGGGCGAATATTCTGGTTTCATTGCACCGGAGGATGATGTCGCAGAGTTCTCGTCGGTTCCTTAGCTGGTTGATCTGCTCGATGGCCTGGTGTGCATGGTTTACAGACGTGTAGTGCATGGTCTTCTCCATCTTGGCTGATATGTTAGATCTCACAATTTATACCTCAGCAATATTTCTCCTCCCGCGCTCATTCTACAATACAACAATTTTACACAAATGTAATTTACCCACATCCCATCATATCTGTGTTAAAGCTAAACTCTAAACCCATTTAAATCCCTAAACTTACCTCACCAAGTTTTAAGATATATAATAAAGTTTGGGGAAATGTTCCTAAAAATTTAATATTTTCACCCTAATAAAACATTTTTATCCTACCAGATTTAATTTAACCCCTATAAAAATATAAAGATAAACTTTCTAAATTGGAATATGAATTTGTGTACAACATCCTCCACATTTCACCAATCAGAAAAAATACTTACTCATTTATATCCAATAACCAGGAATGATAATTTATCAAATAAAACGAAATCTTGGAAGGTCAAAATCATAAAAATTCAATAGACAGACAAAATGAGCTCCTTATTCAGTGCCTGAAGTGGAGAAAATGTGATCTGATTTATGACATGTACCCTCTATATACCTTGTACAGGTATAATTATGTTGAAGAAAAGCTTACCCCAAAATAAGCACAGACCTGGGCCCCGGGCTAATTCTCTGAGGTAATCTAGCATAGACAGCTGACAGGCTTCAGGTCATACAGGCAAGACGAGGTGATAATTAGGAATGTAATTAATTCCTATTGATTAAATGACATATTACTCCTAGTTTACATAATCATAATGATGACAGGGTGAATAGAGAGGAGACAGTTTTGATAAATTTAACCCACAGCATGAAATCCTGTTTATTATTCTAAAGGTAACAATTATTTGAAAATGTCTTCCTTGAATATTTTAGTAATTTAAAAAATTCTCTTTAATCTAAATGAAGGATTTCAATGTAAAAAAAAATATATACTTTTCATATTTTCTTTTGTGGAATGTGGGATGTTTTTCCATGCTAAACATGAAATGTTAATTTCAAGTATTTGACCAACTGAAACTTAAAATTTCAAATTTAAATGTATTCAAGGGAAGGGAAGATATCTTTGTTTCACAGTAAGCATACAAAAATAGAAAACGTTCCTCCCATTTAAGACAAACTAATAGCCCCTATATGCTGTCAGCTACCTGTTAAAGACCTTTGAATTAACATTTGGCTTGGCTACAGTAATTCTAACATTGTTCTCTCATAAGGCCAGATTTGCATACTCTAAATACTACCTTCTTTTAAAATATTAATTGCCCCAGTGTATGCATTAAAAAACATACTTCAAGTGTTTTCTAAAAATTCGCCTGTCATTATGAGTTATCCAAACCCCCATAAATTACAGAGAATGTGTTATGTAATACACCAGCAATTATCCTTATATTAAATGACGACATACTCTTTTCGTATGCAACACTTACAATTAGATTAAATGGAAATTTAAAATAATCAAACATATGAATAGAAAATATTTTCCAACGATAATAAATGTATATGATACTCTCTGAGTGACCGTGAACAGGTAAAGTCTGGTAGATGTATCACAAAAACGAAATCGTATATCGAGAATATCTGGAATAATTGCAGAACATTCTCTCAATTATAAACTTTTTAAGAAGTGAAAAACCTGACGAGGAAAAGATACAGATCATTAAGCACGTCAGACATTAAATACGATATATGTATTATTTATAGAGGTTTTTCAAATTCGCCGAACTCGCCATAAAATTTATTTCCCCATAAGGCTAGAAATCCCCCTCAATATAAAAATACTTGATACAGTAAACTGGACAGAGAGTTGGATAAATCAGTAAGACACTTACCTGTACGGATGGAGCTGCCTCCTGTCACCGCTCCATGGCTGGTGGGAAAGTAAACATACGGTCCGACACCCACCTGTACAGCGGGAGGGAAATTCAGCGGAAATGCTTCGCTACGTTGTGAGGAGGATATCCCATTTGCGTACTACGTCATAACTTTTGCTAAAAGAGGAGTGGAATCCCTGCTGTTTTCTTAACCTTTGGAGGATGAAGAATACTGGGAATGGTTAAGTTGCACTAAAAACATAAAGATTTTCGATGTCTTCTACGGTATATTTCACTCTGAGAAGTCAATTCTTGTCATCAATAAAATGCAAATAAACGCAATTGTTTACAAACAACATGCAACATGTGCTCGCTGAAACCGAAAGTGAAAGCTAGCAGATGTCAATATCTCGTACGTAAAAGTGTCCATGTTTCTACATCACAAGTAAAAAAATAATTTCCCGGTATTCTAAAGGAAAACAATTGATACAAAATTAATTAAGATAATCTATGGAACTAGTTAATGAATACTTTTCTTTCTTTCTTTTATTTATTTAATTATAGTTGGTTATTTTACTTTTTTTATATTTTCCTAGATACATTGCATTCTTTTTCAACATATTTATGTACCTGATATCGCAACATATCATCTATAAATTTAGAACTTACATCTACACATGTTAAGTTTCACACATTCTTGCAAGTTACATCGATATGCGCCTTTTCCTTTACTTTCTATGTTTGCATTAAAATCAGAAAATAGCCGATGATTTAAATATCGGACATAGGGGGGTGGAAGGGGTTGGGAGAAGGAGAGGAGAGATAATTCTGTAAAATTTTGTTTTATTAATATTATATCTAAATCTAAGATTCATTCATACTTTATTACCCTCATTAGAGGAGGAAAGAAAAGAATTATAACACAATATGCAGCTAGGGACCTATAGATATGAGTAATGTGGGGAGGGATCCGACGGAACCCCCCTGGAATTTGCCAAATTATAGAGCATATCCGTATGTATAGTATTCTCGGTAAAGCAAGTAAAAAAAAATGAACGTAGACCCCCTCTCCCAGAAAATGCGGACCCCCTGTTTAGTTTAAAGGAACACAGCGTACGTCGTACATATGAAGCATAAAAAGGAGAAAAACAGCTCTCATCCCCACCCTTTTAAGAAGAAGACAAACAGACAGCCAGACAGACGGACGGACACGACAAAAACTATATACCCCCGGAAAAGACATTTCACGCTGAAGAACGGACACAATTAGTGTAATGGCGGATTCAGAATTCAGAATGCGCATCATATTATTTCAACAATTCATCAACTGAATTACATTATTAAAATTTATGACGCGCACAAGAAAATTTTAAAAATGCGCTCAGCATGCTCAGGAAATTAGAACTGACAAGCTAATTCAGAGAATTTGTGTCCCCCGCTTAAGGAAAAAGTAAAACATGCGCAGTTCGGGGGGAGGGGGGGGGGGGTCTGACCCCCCTCACTGAATTTGAAGAATTATTAAATGTATACATGCATGTATACTGAAGCAAATGAAATATACCATTATGGATATAAAGATTTAATTGCTTATTCTTTATTATGTGTATAGAAGATTCTTTTTATATAGAATATTTATCACACTGTAATGATAATTTTATGAGTTTGTACAAGCCAGACCTCGCAAATTTTTCATTTCGCGCGCTGAATACTATTATTTAGTAAAAAAAAGTATCTCTAAAAAAAGAAGTGGTCCGACTTTAACTCGGGGCCTCTCTCATGGGAAGCGAGAAACATACCACTAGACCAAGGAATCGCTTTACATGGAGCCAAGTTTATGCAGAAGTGAAGTCACATACATGTCTATATTCATGTTTGGTATTGTCAAAATTTTACACAATCCATGGTGTTTGATTTATTTAGCCTTTTCAAACAGTTCTGATAGATGTAATAAGAACATAAGTCCGCCGAGAAACTGTTTTATACGCAATAACTCTCCTCATGCCCCTGTGCGAAAAATAGCGACATGTAATACTATAAATACATATAAAACCAACGGGGCGTGGCACTTTGAGAGGGTTGAGAGAGGTCCAAGGGAGTTTTGGTATAAAATTACATTGCATAAGCTCAAAATCGTCTTGAAATATCGCCCGGAAATGATAGTGTTACACACGACAAAATGTATAAATTTACGACCTTGAACTTTGACCTTTTGACCTCAAAATCAATAGGGGTCTTCATTTGGCCACAGGGAGTTGTTATGTAAAATTTCATTGCAATAGCTCAAATGGTTATAGAGATATCGTGTGCACGTGGAAACGAAAGTGTTGTAACAGACAGAATTTGCTTATTTGTGGCCTTGACCTTTGACCTTTTGACGTCAAAATCAATAGGGTTCTTCTTTATTCCATAGGGATTTGCTATGCAAAATTTCATTGCAAAAGCTCAAAGGGTTCTCGAGATATCGTGTGGAAACGAAAGCGTTACAGACAGACAGAAAGACGGACGGACGGACAGACCCAAATTAATATCCCCCACTTTTCAAGCGGGGGACAAAAATATTTGAGAAGATACTTAATTTCGTTTATGCTTATTTGGAGCTCATATGAATTCAAAAAACACATGCTTCATCTATGTTAAATATGAAACACGAGATCCACAAGTCACAACACTCGAGCACCTGATTCACTTTGCTGTTTTTCATCTCTTTTTCCCATCTTTATATTTATGAAAAAGATTGATCAAAATTTAATATGGACTATTTGTTAACCAAATTTTTGTCCCCCGCTTGAAAAGTGGGGGATATTAATTTGGGTTTGTCCGTCCGTCCGTCCGTCCGTCCGTCTTTCTGTCTGTCTGTAACGCTTTCGTTTCCACACGATATCTCGAGAACCCTTTGAGCTTTTGCAATGAAATTTAGCATAGCAACTCCCTATGGACTAAAGAAGACCCCTATTGATTTTGAGGTCAAAAGGTCAAAGGTCAAGGTCATAAATAAGCAAATTCTGTATGTTAAAACACTTTCGTTTCCACACGATATCTCTAGAACCATTTGAGCTATTGCAATGAAATTTTATATAACAACTCCCTGTGGCCTAAGGAAGACCCCTATTGATTTTGAGGTCAAAAGGTTAAAGTTCAAGGTCGTAAATTTATACATTCTGTCTGTGTGTAATACTATCATTTCCGGGCGATATTTCAAGAAGATTTTGAGCTTATGCAATGTAATTTTATACCAAAACTCCCTAGGACGTCTCTCGCCCCTCTCAAAGTGCCCCGACCCGTTGTTTTATTAGTATTTATAGTATTACATGTCGCTATTTTTAGCGCAGGGGCATGAGGAGAGTTATTGCGTATAAAACAGGTTCTCGGCGGACTTTATGTTCTTATTACATCTATTAGAACTGTTTAATACAGGCTAAATAAATCAAACACCATGGATTGTGTAAAATTTTGAGAATACCGAACATGAAACATGAATATATATATACATATATGTGACTTCAGTTCTGCATATACTTCACATCGGGTAAAGCGATTCCGTGGGCCAGTGGTCATGTCTCTCGCTTCAGATAATTTAAAATATAAGATAAAGAAATTTTCACAATGTTATAGCAAGACGAAAGTAAAGGAAAAGAATAGAGAATTTTATAGAATTCAAAATGCTTTACAGAGAATGTCACAAAATATTGCAAATGGTAGTAACACTGATATAGAAAAATATGAAGCATTAAAAATGGATTTGGCAGAATTAGAAAATGAAAAATGCAGAGGAGCTATTTTGAGGTCAAAAGCTCAATGGGCAAATGAGTCAGATAGATGTACAAAGTATTTTTTGAATTTAGAAAAGAAGAGACAAGAGTCTAATACAGTTAAAGAATTAATTGATGAGGAGGGGATAATTAAGAATGACACTGATTCTATTTTAAATTTACAGTATCAATTTTATTCTAAGCTATATTCTTCAGTTACAATTGAAAGTGAAAGTAAGGACAAGCTTTTATCTTTTGTTGACAAAAAACTTAATGAAACAGATGTTGACATGTGTGAACAGGCTATTGACTGTGATGAAATAGATAAGGCTGTTAAAGGAATGTCAAATAACAAAAGTCCAGGTTCAGATGGGTTAACTGTTGAATTTTACAAAATGTTTTTACCACAACTCTCGTCTGTTTTATTTAAAATTTATCAAGAGATAGAAATGCAAGGACATTTGTCACATTCTATGAAGATGGGTATTATTACATTAATATACAAGAAAAAAGGTGACAAACGATGTTTAAAAAATTGGAGACCAATTAGCCTACTTAATGTTGACTATAAGATAATAGCGAGAGTAATGGCTAATAGGTTAAAATTTGTATTGCCAAACATTGTATCAGAAAATCAAACTTGTTGTATTATTGGTAAAGATATTGCTGATACGTTGATTAGTATAAGAGATATTATAGATATGGTTGAAATGGATAATTTAGAAGGATATATAATTAAAATAGATCAAGAAAAGGCTTTTGACAGAGTAAGTCATGTTTATTTACTTGATGTTTTGAAAGTTTTTGGATTTGGACCAATTTTTAGAAAATGGATTAGTATATTCTACACAGATATTTACAGCAGTGTTAAGAGTAATGGATTTTTAACCAAATATTTTCCGATTAAAAACTCTGTTAGACAAGGTTGTCCTATTTCTGCATTATTGTATGTATTGTCATCAGAACCTTTAAGTTGTTATATAAAAAGTAATACAAGCATTGTAGGAATTCCTATACCAATGTCTAATGAACGTGCATTGATGTTTCAATATGCTGATGACACAACTCTGGCAACATGTGAGAAGAAATCTATTTTTGAAATTTTGAAAATGTTTGATTTATATGGAAAAGCTTCTGGTGCAAAAATCAACAAACAAAAATCTGAAATAATGTGTATTGGAACCGCAAAGTTATTGGAGCATGAAAAAGATTTACTATGTATTTCAGAAACAAATGTAATGAAAATTTTAGGTATATATTTTGGAAAGAACAAACAAGAATGTGAAAACCTAAATTGGAGAGACAAAGTGCAGAAAATAAAACAATTATTGAATTTTTGGAGATTAAGAGAGTTAACAATTCAAGGAAGGGCAGTAGTTATAAATACATTATTTATGTCAAAACTGTGGTATTTT